CTTACCCCCATCACCACCAGGACCCCTCATCCTCCCCCTCCGCCGCCGGAGATCATCACATAAACGGCTCGGCTGCGACCGCCCTCGGCGTTGGCGTCATCCCTCTCCTCACCGCTTCGCCGTGCATAGCCGCCGCCGCCACTGCTCCGCCGCAGAACGTGGATGATAAGATAGCCGGAATTCAGCTTTGGCAACAAAACCAGTACTTCAAGAACCAACACAACAACACTCTCTCTCCAATGAACCTTATGCAAACCGGCTTAGTCACCGCCGCCGCAACCGTCGGCGGAGGAGTGGGGTCGACCTCGAACTCGGGTTCAGCCTCGGGTTCGGGATCAGCCACTTGTCAAGACTGCGGGAACCAGGCGAAGAAGGAGTGCAGCCATCGGAGGTGCCGGACTTGCTGCAAGAGCCGTGGCTTTGATTGCTCTACTCACGTGAAGAGCACGTGGGTCCCAGCAGCTCGCCGGCGGGAGCGGCAGCTCATGACGGCGACAACCTTCGCCGGCGGTAATGCGACGGGGTCCTCAGTTTCGACGTCCGGGACGAAGAAACCGCGGCTGCAACAGCAAACTACGTCTCATACTTCGACTTCTAATAACACACCTCCTCAGAGCTTTGACACCAGCTCTAGTCACCAAGGTACATGAACATGTGTATATGTGTATATATCTGTGTGTATATGTATACTTGTGTATCCTCTGAACATGTATACGTAGATATATAAGAATAAATGTGTGCGTACGTATATGACTATACGTATGCACTCCCAACGGTAAACATTATTGCACTGTTAAGTATAGATGATGATGATGAGGTCCACTGCAATAATTTTGGTAAAATTCGTTACTTCACTTACGTGGAAGTATATATATCTGGTTATTACCTTAAAAAGCTTCGGATTTCATGTGTTATGGTATGCTTTGGCAACACTTGAAAATGATGTCATTCTTGAATATATAATCTATGCGCTATTGACCCACTTGATCATATACATAACTCTTTGTTTTCTTTGTTATCAAGCGTACGTATTGCATATTTATAACAAAACGTAATCTAAGCATTTGATGTGTTTCATTCGATCGGAAACGTTAAGACGGGAGATCGCGGGAAGGCTGGCCGGAGCAGATCCGAGCCCCGGCTGTGTTCAAATGCGTGAGAGTGACGGCTTTGGAGGACGGAGAGGACGAGTACGCGTATCAGGCGGTGGTAAAGATCGGCAGCCACGTCTTCAAAGGCCTTTTGTACGATCAAGGAGTCGATCCTAAAGACGGTTTCCCAAACATATCCGATTTGCATTTAGGCGGAGGCGGCCGGAGCAATGCCAGCAACGGCAATAACAATAACGGGGCGACGGCTTCGTCGCCCATGCTCGACCCGCACGATGTTTATGGTGGCGGTTCTAGTGGCGGCGGTGGAGGGTTTTTGGGTAATTCCGGTTATGGTTAACCAATGAAATTCGGATTTGAGATTTGGAACAATGCAGATATAGAATTCTGCGATCTTTTCTTGGTTTTTGTATCCTTAGGGTTGGTTCCATGGTGAAGTTGGTTACCCCACTTTGCAGTGGTAACTCCTCTTCATCTCCTAATTACAAATGAATAGTTTTTCTATTACCGGAGGAAAAAAAGGGAAATTTTCAAAATTCATGTTACTTTTGGTTGATTATTGTTTTTTTTTTAATTTTTATATCTACAAAATTTCATGTCACTATTATATTACTAGGTTAAAGTCTATGGCTTTTCTATAAGACTTAACTCTTGAATGTTTAAATGAAAGTGACATGATTTTAACATTATAATAGTGACAAGACTAAAGAATTTAATATTTATAAATTTGAAATAAATGTAGTAGTCATATCTAAAATATTAATCTTTTGGCACAAATGGTTAAATCAAAATAATTTGTAAATCGTTTAAAGGCCTTTGCTTGCGTTCTCCTAGGCTACTGCGGCTACGCAATTAGGGTTGTTTCTAGTCTCCGCTGGACTTTCCCTTGGGTGTTCACAAAACAAACCAAATAATACACGACATATATTTGAAACAAAATGGACTGGAATACGTTTTTTTCTAAATTAAATACATCGATTTCAAATGAAAAATCGAAATAAGATGCTTTTTTTTTTATAAAATGAGTATTTGTAAGAAAATGGGTATTTTTTTTCTAAAAAAAGTAGTCCAAAATAAATTGAAAACATATATAAATTAAAATTTAATAGATACAATTATCATAAAATATAAAATCAATGAAACCCAACAAAACTTAACCATAACCCAAAATGCCGGCCAAGTAATTTGGCTTCTATCGTCTATTTTTCTCAATCTTATAATGTATTACCGTATAAAATAGAATATGTTCTACATTTTCACCTAAACAAAAACCATACAATATTTCTCCATCGTGCTTTAGATTCTTGCCAAAGGGGTGGTTGAAAAGGTTTGAGAATTAATCCCTCACCGTTTGTATAGTTTTTCAGTGTGGATGGCTTTCAGGACAAAGAATCTTAATTGTCATAAACCCTATTCTAAAATTTGTGTTTTTTTTTTATAAAAAAAAATTGTGGTTTCGAATTCTATTCTGCTTTATTTTCGAGACCTTTTGATTCTTTTCTATATTCTTTTTCTTATTCACGACATATATCTATTGCTAGTTACGTGTTATTTAATTTTATTATCTGGTTTCTGATTCGTCGTTTTATTTAGCGTGTAATGATGAAAATATAATCCTTTATATACACACACACACATATATATATATATATCTTAAACGATCGACCCTATGTGTGTGCGTGTAATAAACCTTCAACTTATCTTGAGACTTGAACCGACCAAAATATCGCAGTTTAGAATCCGAGAGACTAAACCGTGTAGGTCTTCAATTAGCTAGTTCAAATCAGGATAACCAACCCAATGACATGGAGCATATACATACACATATATATATATATATATATGTATTTATATATACGCGTACACGTATATACATCGCTCATATCACATGTGTTGGGTGTTTATCCTTTTGGAAATTTTATTATTGCAAATAAAAAAATACGGGTTGTGCGTTCTTCTAATTTACCCGTATGATCCATTTTTAATCATAAACTCACAAGTGATATATGTGTTATTAATAATCTATTTAATTAAAGTGATATATATATATATATGTATTACATGTGTGTGTGTGTGTATTAAATTTGTCAGTCATGTCTGCTTTTTTTTGCTTTCGGCCGTCATATTCGTCCCCCCTTTGCAAGAAGACGATATATTTACGTAAGTTTTTTTTTGTTTTATTTTATGTAGTAATTAGTGAGACAAATGATTATATAGTTTGTGCTCATGTGATCCAAAATCTTATTTTCCGGTTATCAAGATTTAGTTCGCATCTATGACTAATCCAATAGCTCTCATTGTTAATTAATATTTTTGATTCGTCCGTATCAGAGTTTTTGTTAGTTCATGTATTATTATTTGGTCCTACAAATATATATATCGACTAGTTTAGATTATTTTATATCATACAATATATTTTTTCGTAGCTTATAAAAGATAGTTTTTTTTAATAATTTTTCAGTAACCCCAAAGATTCACGATATCAAATGCATGTTATAATTAGTTGAAATATCCAAAACAACAATACGTCAACAATGTAATAAAAAAGTTTGTGTGTTTTTTACGTATCCCCCAACACACGACATGAAACTAAAGTCTTGTATATTTAGTTTCTCTAACAAAAAAAAAATCTTTTTTTGTATATAGTTAGTATGAAAAAAAAATATTATGTAAAATTATTTTAGGTAAAAGTAGAAGGCATATGCCAAAACAGCGCGCGTGCCCATGAAAGAGGAACGAAAGTACGTAAAACCGTAAGGTGCATGAATTTGACAAATAGAGATTCATTTCCTCTTCGAAGAAATCCAAATTTGGCATAATGCCACTCTACTTTATTAAATCTTAATTTAATTATCTTTAGTACAGGAATCTTTGCATAACATACACATGTACATGTACATCAGTACATATATATATATATATACACATATACATATATTCACATTTCCTATATAAAAAAAAGGGTACTATAGATATGTCAGCAACTCGATGACTAGCACTAAATGTTGTCTCATAAAGAGTATACCATGATATGATAAAATCCATTCTATATACAAAATATAAACTTCAGTATATATATATATATATGTTTGTACATGCACATGCATATCGATAGCAACCCATCTAAGAAAATTTTATGATTAGATAACATTTCTTATTTATTTAAATAATATTTGGCTTTATTTTATTGGGAGATCAAAAAGTGAAATAAAATAGAATTTTTTTTCTTCAAATAAAATTAAGAATTTTGCCACCTATTATATATGCATATTATTTCCCTATGGTCATCAAGTACTCGAGCCTTGTATGTGTCGAAGTGAATGAAGCTAACGGATACGGCTTAGGAGGTCGAATCTACATTATATTCGGTAAAAGGACCATTATATATATATATATATATATATATATATATATATATATATTACATGATCTTTTCGGTTGTTTAACTAACATTTTTTATTGTGTAAAAAAAAAGAGTTCAAACTATCAAAACCTAGAATTAATTAATCGAATCAAACCTAATTTCAGTTTAAAAAATACAAATCAATTTGGTTTTTATTTTTATTGATAAAAAAATATATTTTCTAAAAAAAATTCCATTATTTTTTTATTTCCAGTTCCGTCCGGTTCAATTTTTTTTTTTTTAAAAAAAATAATACCTATTAAAGTTTTATACTGAGCACGGATAATTTTCCGACCAAATCCTGAACTCAAACTCGAAGATTGGATTCTCTCTCGAGAAGCAGCATCGAACTTGGCCGTTGTGGTTGCTGGTTTTCCATCACAAAAAGAGGTAAGAATAGTTTTCCCAACAATATTTTTTTTTTAAATCCAATCCAATCATGTATAACCGAATTTAGTCTAAAAATCGAAACTTTCTTTAAAACAAATTAATGAACCCTAAATATGAAAATATAAGAAAAATAAATAAATATAATATTTTAAAAAAGGATTTTTTTACAACGGAAGGAAATCTTACATAAAGAACATTATGAGACGAGTGAAAACACACCATTCATATTTTTCTTTTGATTTAAATTAAAATTTCAGATAATAACGTTTTCAAAATGTAAAAGCATACATTTTTGTTCTGATGCATTAAATTGGGACCAAAGCCAAAGAAACAGGAGGAGGAGGATGGGCTTTCAAACACTAACACTACGTACGTATATATCTCTAAAAAGCCGATGGGAAGATCAAGGGTACTCTACAAAGATTCATCATGAACCAGAGATCCAAAAAGCTAAAAAAAGGGTCATAAAAAAGATGATCATATGGGATAACTTATCGGAGATTCAGGCGATACCGGCGTTTTCAAGTTCCATTTGTGCCGCAGTTGCGTTGATGGCGTCTACGATATCCATTTTCTCCCCACTAATGGCTTCATCCATCGGAGTCCGCTCGTACCTGTGAAACCCGACAAGCCTCAGAAATTCAAGGATCGTTTCTTCTCATCGCACAAAAGAAGATATATATATATATGTCAACATATATATATATATATATATGTATATTGACGAGAGAGAGAGAGAGAGAGAAACCGGTTCAAAAGGCTTAGGTCTGCTCCTGCAATGATCAATCTCTTGACGACCTGCCCGTGTAACAGTCTTCTACTGGTTAGTAAATGAATGGAACAATGCCATGACAATGGTGGTGGTGATAATGATGAGTGGTGGTGGTTACCTCGACATGGCCGTTCAAGCATGCCCAGTGAAGGGGTGTATTGTTCTCATGGTTCAGAGCGTTTATATCCTGCGCACAAAGACAAGGCTCGACCTCTCTTAGCACGTGTGGTCCACCGTCCATCCATATACTTGCTATCTAGATCTATGGAATGGTAAGAACGACAACGACGCCTTAATCCCAAGTTTATTTGAGGTCAGGCCATGGAATAATAAGAAATCAGAAATTAATGCTGTGCGTGTGCCATGGAGAAAACAAGAAAAAAGAAAGAATAATATACTAACGCTCCTTGAAAGTGTTAAAACAAAGGGGAAAGATTCAAACATTTGCTTTAAGTGAGAATCAACAAGAAACGGAAATAAAATCTCTTTCACGAATGGCACTAGGATTCAACTGCCAACTTGGTCACAATAATCGAAGTTACAGCAGGTGGTAAGAGTTTTAAATCAAAATGATAGGATGGGGCGTCGATGATAACATGGTTAGTAGATATATTACTATCCTTCTGAACATACAAAAGACAGTGATTGGCTCTCTTACCACTCTTTCACCGATAAGATACTCGATTATAGCTAAGTGCCCATTGGCCGCGGCCATATGCAGTGCTGCAATGAGAAAGTTACAAATAAGAAACCACGTAAAAATCAAAGCATGTAATCCAAAATTTTGAACCTTATCATCCATGGGCACTGGCAAGAGTACAAGAGATCAAAACACAATCTTGGCTATCTCAATGATCTTTGAGCGATTCACTCGACTTAACAACTCAAAAACAAAGACTGAGGACCTATTCTGGTTAGGTTTCCGACATTTCGGGGAGAACCCTGATGAAAATCCCCAGAGACCGTGGGGAATTCCTTTTAACAGAGCCCAAAGAGGAACTCTCTCTATGTTATCGGGAACTATGAGAAAATGCATAGGAACATATTCATAAACGTTCTGGTCTTCTTAAGCATCCAGAAAGAGAGAGAGAAGCTACAAAATCAGCTGGCCGATAAAAAACTTATTCGAAGATTTAACAAAACCTGGAACCGAAAGCAAAGCATACAACTCTTTATAATGTAGCATACATCTGAAGAATGAACCAGCATGAAAGCAAAACCAGAATGGCAATTTCATCTATATAGGCAAAGCATGGAATGGCACACACAATACAATCCAAGCATCGTTACAGAACTGAACTGACCAACCAACACAGGACAAAAGACATGGAACCCAGAAGAATGAAGCTCGGACAATGACAAAAACGAAGCAAGGAAATCCAGAATTATGAGAAACCCTAAAAAAGACCAGCAATTCAAAAAACTCAAAAACCTGAGCGGCCTTGTGAATCGCGGGAATCAAGAGGGACTCCGGAAGAAGCCAAGCTCCTAAGATCATCAATATCATCATATCTCGCAGCCTGTTCATCAAAATCAAACACTCAAATTAAAAGAAAAGCAAAACAGTCCGTGATCGAAGGCCCGAATTCCAATTCCAGATTCATTAACAACCCACCGAATATTAATCGACGATTAACAATAAAGATTCAAACTTTTGCTTCAGTTGAAGCCACATACTTAACTGGAGACTGATATCCCCTATTAGAGACGACAATTCAGCAGAAGACGAAGAGCCCAGAAGAGATTAGACGGGGAAAATCTAAGAAAACGAGCTCAAATTTTCCAGGAAAGGAAATCAAATGAGAAGCAGAGGCAGATAAAAAAAGACCTCGAGCAAGTCGTCGATTTTCTCTGCGTCTGTGTTGGCTTCGGCTCCCATACTCGGATGCTTCAATACTGCTTCAATAGACGTGCTCTGCTCTGTGGGTGTAAATATATATTTGGAGGGCAAATATGTAAATAACGTGTAAAAAAGGGTCCACGGGTAGGGTGAGCAAACGGGCGCTAATTTCGGTTATTAAGACCGAATAATGGTATTTCGGTTTGGTTGTTATTTGAAAAATAACTCATTGGTTACGTTCGATTCGGTTATTTAACCGAATAAGGTTGGTTAACTGATTGGTTAACCAATTATAACATCTATGTTTTTTGTTTTGTTTTTGAACTCGGTAGGATTGTATGATCCCATTGACAAAAGGTTTTTCTCGTAAGAAGAGACAATGACAATGATATTATTACTCGATTTGCTTCCGTTATACCCACGCTTTTCTCGTATCGTTATTTTTAAATTTTTCTCTATTTATTTTATTGTTTATTAAAAACATTGAGATAGCTAAAATATTCTATAAAAACCATGAGTTTACAAAATTTTCAGATTAATAATTTATTTGTCAAAAATGTCAGAATCAACAACATCTAATTCGTTGAGTTCTTCGTCATCAGCATCACCCACCGATTCTGTTCCTTTCATTTCGTGAGTCCACCGACTCCGACTCTGTCATCTCCTCCTCTGTCTCTATCGGACTCCAAACTTCTTCCTCCACCACTGCTCTTAAGCCCACCACCTCCACAGGACGCTTCACTTCCAGCTGATCCTCCGCCTATAGTCTTTCACCATCGTCAGACCTGACCAAGTCCCCTTCTCCTCCTCCTCTAGCAGTAGACCCTGCAATGGAGGCTTTAAAACCGAAATCAAAATAAAAATCCTTTGTTTCTAAGTTTGAAAAATGGAAAACGAAGTATAATGAAGATTTCAAATGAAACTTATTTTTTTATTAATGTCATGTACAAATCGCAACAACAATCATTCACCGGGAACACAACTTCCGGAACCAAAAGGACGGTGGATTTTCAGTTCGACACAATATTTTGATTATTTTTTACAAAAGAAATGTAATGGGTTATGTCTGATCATTTTGATCATGCACAACACCAAGACGATATATGCTATCATCGTATTCATTCTTTCGTTAACCAGCTCTAATCTTGGAGAGATTGAGATCATCAGTATTCACCAATTTGCAATTCGCAATAAAAATTAGTTTGATATTTTTAAATTAAATAATTGAAAAATATTTTCATGGGACGTTTTGATTAGATTGAGTTTTACATTTATTTTGTGTATGACGATATGTTGAAAGATAAAACAATTTAATCATGAAAATCATAGAAATGTTAAATAATCTAATATAATAATAAGATAAATATTATAAAACTGTCAGTTGATTTAATATAATAATAATAATAATATTTTATATTATATATATATTATAGAAAAATAATTTAAAAATTATTAACTTTCAAAAAATTCTACATAAATACATATATTTTAAACTTAATAATTTTTTCATAAATCTACTTTCGTTCTAACACCGTCAATTATTTAACGGATTCGATAACACATCATTGGCATATAGAAAAAAAATAAAATATCATCATTGTCTCATTGTACAATCTTAATTAAAAAATTATTATTATATATATATAATTATTCAAAAAAGATTAAAAAATAGAATAATATATATATATATATATATGCAATATTCAATATTGTAACGATCCGCGACCGCTACGAAATATCGAAACTGCCCTCACACAACAACACAGGACCTTCCAGCGTGTTTTGTCCTCATTTACACGCAACTGATATATTTTCTAATAGGTCACCCATCCTGAAATTGCTCCAAAATCAGCATCCTTAACTTTGGAGTCCTCTCGGGATAGTCAATAAAAAAGGTAGGTGCACCTTATTGCTATGAGTAGTCCAACTAATTTTTTTATGTTATCTCAGACCATATAGTGTCATACTTATATAGCAATCGGATCTCTCTCATTCGGGTGCATTCGATTCATTCATATATCCCTTTGGCCTTAATGGTACTTGGGGAGTTGCACCTTGATCGTGCCATCGCACCGGCAAACACTCCCAACCTTCATCGTAGCTTGGGATATCAGAAGTCCACCACCTTATGTCTAGTAAAAATGATATTGTTTCATATTTTTTAAAACTGTTAATGAATTAATTATACACATTTACTCATTAATTTAATGAATATTTAAATGATATAGAAAAATTAAAAATAAAATGCTATATAGATAATGAGGTGAATGCTTAGGTGTCTTCACGAGAAGCCTTTAAATTCAACTTTTATATATATAGATTTGTATTTTCTTTCACACCCTTCTACTCTTTAATTAAACCATAATTCAACTTATAATTGGTAGGGATGGATGTTTTGGGAAACGGTTCGGGTTCGGAACGGAAATACATCGGTTTGATTTTTTCAGTTTTACAAAAATCGGTTCGATTTTTTTGGTTTTATATTATGTTCGGTTCGGTTCGGTTTCGGTACCGGTTCGGTTTCGGTTTTTATTAAAAAAAGATAGTTTTTCTTTAAAAATTTTCGTTTTTCGGGAATTTTTAAAGTTCGGTTCGGTTTCGGTACCGGTTCGGTTCGATTTCGGTTTTTATTAAAAAAATATATATTTTCTTTAAAAATTTTCGTTTTTTTCAGGATTTTTTAAAGTTCGGTTCGGTTCGGTTTCGAAAAATTCGATTATCTAAAAATAATACCGTTTAGAAATTTGGAACGATTCGAATCGAGAAAAATACCGTTTTTTGGTTCGATCCGGTTCGGTTCTGAAAAACCGATCCGAAATGCCCAGTCCTAATAATTGGTAGTATCTATTTTTTAAAGCTTTGTTTAGAAACAATTTAGATACTTTATCCAGAAATATTATCCACAAATATTAATAAATATTTATTAAGATCACTTGAATAAAAGGATATTTTTTAAATTAACTTATTTTTAATAATTAACACACTTTTCAAAATAGTTAATTTTATATATAATTCAACTGTTAACCCTATAAATTTTATAAAAAAATTATTTATTACTTCTCTTGACTTGTTCCCCTCACTCACGAATTTGTCTCTAAAATAATTAATTTTTGAAAACTAAATATAAACTCAAAAAAAAAAATGAAAAATCTTAAACATAAAAAAATTCCCCCTAATGATCTTTTTTTCCTGCTAAACAGATTTGGGAAGAAGGGTTTGTTTCTTCGAAACCCAATCTTTTGGTCTTGTTGATGCTGGTAAGATCCATGTTTCCGCCATGAGTAGCAAATGATCCAACTACGTGCATGGAAGATTGATTCTTCGTTTGCTCTTTTTGCTTCTGTTTTCGGACGGATTTTGGTGCTGAATCTTGGTACTCCTGCTTTATCCTTGGAAATAGGTCCATGCGTAGAAATGGGGTTTTGGATACGATCTCTTCACTTAGTTGTGTATAATCGTCATTAACTTGTGCTATTTTCTTTTGCTCTTCGTATGTGGGTAGAGTTCGGATTGAAAAGCTAGGGCTCTTAACGTAGGTGGTCTTGCTATTTTCAGTAGATGCGTGCTGATGACTTGGGTCTGAAATCATGGCTTCGGTCGTTCGTTTGTCTAGGGTTATCTAGGCGGGTTTATGTTATCTTGGATCTGCACTTTCTTTCCAATTTTGTGGGTTTTCCAGTCTGATTCAGTCAGAATGTGTTTGTGTCATGTTTCAGGGGACAAGAGCATCAAAGAGGAGATTCATGACATGAACCAAGTTTTGGGTGGCTGTGCAAAATTCCTCTTAAGAAACAACAGCCATGGTGATAGGCCGCCAACATGCTTACTATTGGTACGTCTCGTGGATTTTGTCTAGTGTTGCAGTTTTGTGTCAATTGTTACAACCTCACTTTTGCTATTCTTCAGATACTCTAATACTCTCATTTGGTTAGGTTTGGGAAGGGAGTGAGCAACATCCTAAAACACCGATTTCGATGTTAAACGTCTCTGGACAGTCAGTTATTGGGTTCTAATGTTGTGGAATTGCTCGGTTACAGTAGGAGAGTTGTGTCTAATTACTACCACCATGCAGTTTCTTGATCATTGGTCTTTTTCACTGATATGAGATTTTTAACAATCTTGCAAGAGCTTTTGAGAAAATGGGTGAGGAAAAGGATGGGATGGGATGGGAGAGTGTGGGGTCTTCAATTTGACTTGGAGAGGCTGCAATGTCAAGCAAAGAAGAGATGCAATAAAGCAGCAATCCACATCCTTCACCAACCCCATTAACCAAGAACCCAAATCTATAGAATCATTAGTTGAGTTTTCCTTGTTGTGCCAAGGGATTATAATATTCCTAATAGATTTTAGGAGCTTTTATCTTTTATTAAAAGAATCTTGCAACTCTTTGGTTATATATAGTAATGTCTCAATCTTTTCTTTTGGTTTATATTTGTGTGCTGGGTTTGGATTTTGTTTCTGTTCCCTTTCTTTTCCTTCTTCTTCACAATCATCATGTCTGTCATCATCATGTTCCTTTTTTTTTTCTTCAAATCATCTTATTTTACTCCTTTGATTCTCACCTACTCTCCTATCTTTCAAAGCCCATCTCTTGAATTCCCTCAAAGCGAAAGGCTCCTTTCCCTTCCCCACCACTTCTCTCTCTCTCTCTCTCTCTGGATGCTTTCCTTTGAGGCCATGCCACTGTACACTTAAAGCTTCCTCAACAAAGTTCTCAGGGTCACATTTTAAAAGGGCGAAATCTTTTCCTATCATCGTTTTCTTGATCAATCTGCTTTCTTGATTGCTTTTCTCCATCTGTCCAAATGGAATCTCTCGAGCAATCTTCTTCTGGTTTCCGCTACCGCCTCAATTCGGCTCCGCCTGAATCTCATCACGGCTTCTCCACTGTTCTTCTTCAAGTGTTTGTTCACAATGCCAGGAACATCCACAACATCTGCATCTACGACAATCAGGACGTCTACGCCAAATTCTCTCTCACGTACAACCCTGATTACACCATCTCTACCAGGGTCGTTCACAGGGCCGGGAAGAACCCGGAGTTCAACGAAAAGCTTATGATCAGTGTGACCCAGATCGATGCGGTCCTCAAATGTGAAATCTGGATGATGAGCAGAGCCAGACATTACATGGAAGATCAGCTTCTGGGTTTCGTTCTTGTCCCTGTTTCAGACATCATAGGCAAAGACACGGTCACTCATGAGTACAGCCTTTCCTCCACTGATCTCCTCCATTCCCCAGCTGGTACCATAAAGCTCACTCTTTCGGTCATCAACCCTTCCGTTGTCTCGATCAGCAGTCTCTCGAATCCGAAGATCATCAACACTTCGATATCTTCCGAGGTCGTATTGCTTGACCCGCAAGTTTCTGAAGCCGAGTCTGATGACCCTGCAGCTGAGTACACGAGGATTGAGTTTCCTGATATGAATGTTGCTAGCGAGAACAGGCAGATGGTTACAGAGTACTTCAATGGATTGAATCTCAGACCAAACATGAACCCAGTTGCCGAATTCGCCTCTTTTCTTTGCCTCGGTTCCTCTCATCAGCCCGAAACCGACAAAGACTCTGACACGACAATGGTCTGTTCAGAAGAAAACGCAGTGGGAATTATGTTTTCTCCGAACTTGAGTTTCCAAAACTCCGAATTCATGGCTTCTTCTTCAACCACAACAAGCTTAAGCGACGACAGAAACACCGCCGATTCAAACGAGAAACAGAATCATCATTTGGTGGTTTGTCAGAGTTCAAGTAAATGCCCAGAGACACCGACTTCGAATGCAGAAGCAAGAACAGACCAGGAAGAGACGAAGATCAAGAGAGAAGCGAACAAACCCGGATTAGGGCAGCTCTTAGGGGACATGAATCTTGAAGCAGAGCAAACAGCAATGCAGAAACAGATCGTCGACATGTACATGAGAAGTATGCAACAGTTTTCAGAATCATTGGCCAAAATGAAGCTTCCTATGGATCTTCATCACAAGCCATCTCTTCAACGCGACGAAGATCAGAACACGAACGGAAATAACAGCAACAGTAATGCACCGATGCAGATTCAGAACCGAGCTAATGGATTGGAAATCGAAAAGAAACAGGACAGATCTCGTGTCTTTTACGGTAGCAGAGCCTTCTTCTAATCAAGTCTACAAAGATCACATTTCTATTAAGAAACATAACACATGAGTTTATTATTAACACTTCGGTTCTGTCCTTTATTTTTTGGGGTTATGTTTTCCTCTGTGTTTGATTCAGATCATCTTTGTAGACCTAATCCAACGAGTTTGGTGATGCAACGGCATTGTTCTCTTCTTCACGTTCTTATATTTTTTCCCATCTAATTGTGTCTGTCTGTGTGTATATATATATATATATATATATGTATGTATTCATACTTCAGATAGCAGTTTCTGTATCCATTTATTATTGACTTTATCTCGATTCTTATAAAAATGTATTGTTTGTATCGGAAGTTTTTTTTCTTAATTTTTTTTGTCAGAATTAGGGGTGATCATTTCCGTTAATATGTAATTGTATCTATACCAAATCCAAGCTATTAAATAAGATTTTTTAAAATTAAATTATTTGAATTCAAAACCAATCAGAACCGATTCAAAAATAATTGAAAAAACTGAGATTTTTAAGAAAAAATATTTTTTTTAGTAAAAGTCGAATATGAATTGAACTACAAATCCAACTTAAAATCGAATAGACATACATTTTTTTTTTCAAAACCAAAAAAAAAAACCAAATCACAAAATAACAAAAAGAAACAGAAATGTCTACTAATTTTAGATGTAATTCCTCATACAACACAAACACATACTATGCAATACATACATGTAACATGATAGATAGCTAGCTAGGTAGATGTATGTATGTATGTATGTATGTATGTATGTATGTATGTATGTATGTATGCATGTATGTATAGGGACATGTTTATTATAATTTAGAAAGATATTGAAACTTTATAGATAGTGTTATTATTGGGAAAGTCATTATGGAAGATGTTGAATAAAAGGACCGAAGTAAAAATGATGGTCTTCGTTGAAACTCATACAGAGATTTGGTTATTGGGGGACATATACATTGTGATGGTGGCCCTTGGCTACTTCATCACCTCATCTCATAGTCCATGATATTCCATTTTCTTTTACCAAAAAAAACCTCTCAAATCCAAATTTATATACAAATTTTTTATTTTTAGAGCCATTTTTACAGGTTACAGAAAGAGTTTTTTAAATATGCGAAGAGCTTTTTTTTTTTTTGTCTATTTTTAAATTTCCATTCAAATTTGCTACCTTTGGTTTCTATTGGGAAATATAGCGAGTTAAAATTATTTATTATAAAATCATATTTCTAATAAGATCAGTGTTAGTGTTCTAATAGGGTCAGTTTGTAATTTTCTATTAGGATTAAGTTTACTCTGAATTTTTTTTTATTCCATAAACCTTAACAGTTTGTAATTTTCTATTAGGTTAAGTTTGTCTTTTAATTGATTCCTCAAAGGGCGAACAAAGAGGGTAAAATTAAAAAAAAAAATTATTTATTTTTAAATAAAAGGTTCTGTGTAAAGATTATAAGCACAATGATTTCCTATGTAAGAGTGAGATGCAAGAGATCACATCCATGATATACTCAGATTATGTTTTATATATATATATATATATATATATAAGGTTCACATCGTTCCCTTTTTTTATACCGTAAAAGGTATAATTGTTAAAAACAAAATCACATCTTTTTTACAAGCATGATGATGACCGGGAAACACTAGGTGAATAATTTTTTTTTGGGGGGGTAAAACATGTCAAGTTAAAACCATAAAAAAAAAAACATTCCTTAATTTCTTTCCTGAAAACAAAGCTCTTCATTTTTTTTGGAACCACTAAAAAGATTTTGTGGAAACAGGCATTATTACCAAATCTCAGAGAAACACAAGACGATCCATATCTCCAACAGCAATTTCAGTAACAAATCCCACACAAAAAAAAAAAAAAAAAACCAAAGACCACAAACCACCATTTATTCATCAATCCGGTAGCCATACCATACGGCTCTTTAAGCTTCCAGCAACGACGACACACGAAAGACCAAAAAAAAAGGGAGATAAAGAGTTGGGCGTGACCATGACTTGCGAAATAGCTAATAAGTGTACTTTTTTTTCTCTCTTGCGAGTATTAAATAAGATAAAGCCCATTTGGTGTGGTGAAGCCACCATATGGTTCCAAGTCCCCCACACCCCCAAACTCGCTGAGAGCATCGGGGGGGCTAGTGTGGGGGGTACGATCCCTTTCTCACTGACATGTCGGGGGGGTAGCAACAAGACAAGGCAACTTTTACTCCTAAATGAATTCCCGCACGCAAGACCAATGCAGAATGTGTCCTCTTCTTCTCCCCACAATCTCCCTCCAAACCACCAACATGAGTTGTCCTCAAGTCTCTGCTACATCTTATAAAATCAGAGCTTAAACAGGATGTAAAGACAGATTAAAAATGCGGCATTCATGTTGCCTGAGCGGCTATGCAATTGAAGTGATGGACCCTCTGTTTCAAAGTATCACAATTTCATATGCAAAGAATGAAGAGAGAGGCAAGGGGGGGAAAAGCGACTCACCCAGTCCGGTAGCAAGTGCCCTCAATAAGCCCAAAAGCCATAAGATGACTCCAGCAGAACAAGGCTCATCAGAGTTGAAGTTTGGTAGCAAAAACATTCAGGTTACACTCACCAGAATCATTCCCACATAACCTATAACCACACCATTGAACAAAACTTCGTCAATCAATTGACCATGCAAAGGGCTTAGAGTCTTCTTGAATACGGAGGAACTTTTTTGTGGCTTTTTGCTTTACCGCCTAGTTAAAGCCAACAAATCGAGCCCAACTTTCAGTGGTTTTCTTGGCTTTTAAAAGCAAAAATGTCAAAAGCCCCAAACTAAAACTAATCCCAAAACCATAAACCAAAAGTTATCATGAAAGTTCTGATGTTACCGTGTTTACTCTTTACCGATCTCACACAAAGGAACGACCGGGCCAGCTTGACTGTCCTTGATATTGCTCAGGGAGCTGAGCTGATGATTGCTGGTTTCCGTTCACAAGTTGCTGTTGCTGAAGTTGCTGATAAGCCTGCCACCCTTTCTGAATATCCGCTTGAACCTGCGACGTTGGAACTTGTTTTCCAGGGAAGGGGAAATTGACAGTCCCGTTCAGGCCATTGCTGATACTTACATATTCAGATTTCCCAGGAAGAGGGTAATTCAAAGAATTACTGAGCCCAACACCTCTGGTAGATTGAGGTTGATATCCGTCCAACCACCTATAATCATCAACCAGCGGATTACTGCCAGACAGATCTGAACTAGACATCAACTCCTTTGGCGCCTTAGAAGGGATTGAGTTGAACCCAGGCGGAGGCCCAAGATGCCTAACGGGCCTGCTGATTGGATTTTTTCTCGTTAGAGAAGTATGGACACCCATACCATCAGCAATAACCCCAGAAGATGAAACAGCGTCAACTTTGGACATCAGCACAGCTTCAGTAGCTCGTGATTGAGGATATGGCACACCACTTATACTATTGACATTGAAGGACTGGTGAATCGGCAATGAAGGAGCAGGGTGATAAGAAATGCCATGATTCCCTTGCATCTCATTCATCATATGACCATTACCTATGAGATTTAACCCTGATAGATTTCCAGCAAGAGAAGCAGCATCCTCTGGTAACCGCTTGCAGGCCTGTAAATGGGATAGTGGAAAGTGTGCAATCTGTGATTGGGTTGGTTGAAGATGACCAACCTGCGATTGTGCTGGCAGTTGAGGCATCACTTGTGTTTGACACTGTTGCAGATGCTGAACCTGCGACTGAGCAGGTTGAAGATGAGCCAGAAGGTTAGACCCAACAACAGATACAGGTAACTGGAAACTCGTGCTGGCACTGGCTTGTACAAGGAGATTGTCATGAGAAGCTGAGCGAGAACCACCCAAAGATTTCAGATCCCCAATTGAAGCACCTTGATCAGGTTTTCTTATGCTCACATTTGGCTCATATATTTGATCAGGGGCACCTATTCTCTTCTCAGAAACCATAGGCTTAAAAACAATTACTTCATCCTCATCCTCCTCATCCAGGTAGGGGTGACCTTGTTGCATCACTGATGAATTCAGATCCATGATCATTTGGTGATCTTGCAGAGTGTTATTAGCGTCTGGCAGGCTTGGATATGAATCAAGCAAGAAATTGTCTGACGGTTTTACACCAACCAGAAATTCCTTCTTCTTCGAGTCGAAGTACACAGGATTTTGATCTATTTTTATCACACTGGTCAAAGCTTTCCCTGCTGCCAAAATCCTCTTGATACGAGCTTTCTTTTCTTTGGGACCTTCACTTCCAAAGGAATGATTCCTGGTGAAGTCAAGAACAGCTTGAGCAGGAAGCAATGGCAAGAATCCTCTTAGTTCACAGTCCTCAAATAGCGCAAGTCGGTTTTCAGTTTCCCTTTCATCATATCTGCTCATGTTTGAGAAGCAAGTCTCATCTTCCTCAGCATCAATAAGCATCGGCCCAAGCGACAATATTCGATTCAAGAAGGCAATGCACTGGTTCCAGAAGTTAGACCGAACAGCAATCTGCTTCTCATCTGGATCGCTGCCCGCCGCAATATCAGGATAACATGCCAACCATTCAACAAAGACTAGGACACCAGGCAAGAAGTAACTTGATGAAGGTTCGCGAAGCTGAACACACCGGTCTACTACTAGTCCAAGTAACTTGAAGCATGCTGTTAAGGAATTTTTGGCAAGCACAGCACCCTGTACGATTTCTGCATACGTCTGACTTGCTGTTTCTTTCTTTGAATTATGAACGCTGAATATCAGAATCGCCACAAGTCTAACAATGAAAACTGCATTGTCAGTGACATCTGCACCGAAATTCAACTCCTCCGCTGGGCCTGAAGAAAGCAGCTCTTGTAAGCTGTTGATAGTGGAGTCAAGAACTTCAGAGAACATCTCCAAGCTGAAAAAGACAAAAACTAAATATAATACCAGACCAATAAACCAGTGACTGAAACTAGGGAAAAACACACACACATTGTTACCTTGTACGAGTAAAAATAATCCCGTTAAGGCGGACAAATCTAGTGCAAAATGTTTTGAGCATCTCATTTGCATTTGGTATTATATCCTTCTCAGGACCAACTACCAAATTTGCATCTTTCAATGAAAGATCTTCCCCTTTGCGTCTTCCTTTACCATTTGGCTTTCTAGATGAATCCTTAACCATCATAAGCAGCTGAGTGTAATTCTGACGGTTCTGCTCAACATCAGAGAAAAAGACAGTTGAGTCAACCTTGTATGAAAAGCAAATGGCAGAAAAACACAAGATCATATACCAGGAAAACAACATAATATCAAACAAAAAATTAAACAGAAGGAACCCAACCAAACCAGGTTATCCTGATATAACAAGCTGTAACTATCAGAACCAAACACTACCAGCTACCGTTATATCACCGCCAATAAAAAGATACACCTTCCATAACATGCTTATGTTATACAAAAACTTGAACATGGAAAAAACATTGTAACATGACGACTTCCAGATGGTGGATAGCCAGAAAACGCCAGGCAAAGGTCTATGGTACATGCTAACTAATACATTAAGCCTTCAGCATAATCATGAAACACAAGTTTTGCAGGGGAACCTTTTCAAATGCAACAATCAAGTTGTCACGGGCAGTAGGAAAGGGGCTCTCCACAGCCAAACTCCGGAAATAACGATAAACAGCCGCCAACTCATCCCCTGAATAAGAGGATATTATAGCAAGCTGAAACATCAAGCAAAGTTCATTACTTAAAACAGCCACACAACTGCAGCAATCGTCTTCCCAACATCATGAAAAGGGGAGATTAAAAGTGCAGACAAACCTGATGGTGTGGGTTTCCGCTGGCTGGCAATAGGGAAGCAGCTTGCAGGTAATAACTTGAAGCAGCAGCATACTCCCTGTTCTTAGAATCCCCCTCCCCATACAATCCTTTATACCGGGCAAGGTCACCCAGGTATATTAAGCACCGGTGGCAAGACACGAACGCTTTCTTAACTTCTGCTGACTTCTCTGGATCCTCAGAGAAATATCCCATGGGGAGACCATATTTTGACCTAATTTTTAAAATAAGATCATGGTAAAACCCAGCTGCTTCTGACAGGAATGTTTTAAACTGCAGTCTGAGCTTCGCAACTCGGTCAGGTCTGATGGGACCTTTGACATTTTGGGCTGTATTTGAGCTGCCAGAAGACAGGACATTGAAGTGTGCTCTGAACTCTTCAATACGTTTGTAATGCAACTGCCATAAATTATACTCGATGCTGTGCTGCTCAGAAAAAGTATGATCCTCAAGAATTATCGCTTCATAATTCTCCCGAATTTGCTGCCACGCATTTGGATCAGATGGAAGTCGAGCCTGGGCAGCCTTCCGACGCTTGCTTTCCAACTTGACAGTCTGCAAAAAACTTGCATTTTCATTGTCATATACTACAAAATTTTCCAGAGTCCTGTAGCAGATACGAAGAAAAAATAACCTATACATTACCCTACAGAATGGATATAAGAAGAAAAGAGGTAACAATTGCAAGTTTTAGAAGCTATTCTCCCATAACAGGAGTCCAAATATTCCTAGTGAGAAGGACAACCCATATGTAGATAGAAATTTAAAAGGCCAAAGAAAGAACCTTATCGAGTATGGACTGTGCACGCTCCCTTGACGAAAGATCAGATGTCTTATCCATCTGCCCGATCATCATCCATCAATCTCAACAAAACTTTTCTCACATGAAACCTACACATTACAAAAAAAAAAAAAAACCCAAATCTCAGCAGAAAAGAGGAAAGGTTAACGCCCAAACAACACTACACCTTCGGAAATATTGAAATCTACATATATTCTGGAGCTTTAAAGCTAAATATAAGGAAACAGATTACGGGAATATTGAAATCTTCGGAAAAAATACAATTGAATTTCAATCGACATTTAGAAGAAGAAAAGTAAAAGGAGAAGGGTTCCAAAGGACCCATAAACGAGATATGCAAAATTAATCATGATCATTAAACAGAAAACAACCAATGAACATAAAAACCGCAAGTTCTGCCGAAAGATTTCAACTTGCAAAACATGAAAAAGAATAAAAGAACCGAGATGACCCAACCTTCGTTTCAATTCACAACATAATCATCACTCAAATCCATAAATCAACAAGAATAAGCGGTAAACAAGAAAAAGAACACCGAAATCGAACCACATAACGATCGCCAATTCAATCAGGCGACGAGCACCAATAATAGGGGCGAATTACCGAAATCGAAACGAGGAAGAACAAGAAAACTCACAGGAAACACCAGATCTGCGAATGCCCTATCAGACAAGAAGTCTCAGAAGGAAAAACTGGACGGTGGAGATTGAAAACTAGGGTTTTTCCCCTCTTAGAGATAGAAAGAGATGGTGAAGCAAAACGTGACGTCGACTTTTCCGCAGGGATATAAAATATATTTATGTATATATATATATTTAAAGAGAACACTAATTTCAAAGTGTTTTCCGTGTCGGTATTGGAATTGCATTGCCGCAGGCGGCGTGTTTCCTAAGGACTCTAAACGCTACCGTTTCGCTTGTCCGACTGCTTAAAGACTTCTGTTTGAGTTTGACCTTTTCTCATATTCAGGATAAACTCAAGAAAAAAACAATTATCAACTATTTTTTTATTAGAAAAAATAAAATAATTTATATTTTTTAGTTCATATGATAATAAAAATATAAGGTGAATGTATTTTATTGATTGAATTGATATTTATCTATAAAAATCTATTAATATGGGTGATTGATTTCTATTTGAGATTTTCTACACCAGTGATATGATTTTTTTTAAATAAATGAAATATAAGAAATTGTATAATTTGTCTATAAAGTAATCATCCAAGGGATAAACATTTATTTTTTTTAAAATAAAAGTATTGTCTTTATATACAAAATTAAAAATTGATGATTTTTGTAATAAATTTAAAATAAAAATTATTTTAATAGATGCGAGAGTTAAGATTTATTTTTGAAATTTTCATTTTTTATGAGATACTTTTGTAGTTTTTTGGTAAAAAATGTAGTTGAAAATATTTATAACACAAAACCCATTTATTCAGTAGTTTTTCTGAAGAGGAAACTATCTGAAGGTATTATGCACACTTGTGAGAGAACAATGGAATGCATACAAATGGCGTCGGGATAAAATCGTAAATAAAAAATATACCAAATATGTCATGGTATTACAATGGGGGTTTAGGGTTTCATCAAAGCCACTTTCAATTGTCTGCTTGTCCACAAAACTTGAAGACCAAAACACACACACGACACACATGAAAGAAGACGAGGATGTTATATACAGATAGACCAATGAGGGTATGTCTTTACCGGCTAGTTCCATGGGGGAGAAGAAGACGGTCTGTGCATAAATGGTTGAGACGATGAAGAGCCATAGTTGAGGTCGAGATTCTGGAGCTGTCGCATAAGCTGTGAGCGCCGTTCCTTGAAGAAATCCAGACGGGTCGTTAGCTCCACAAGCGCTGCAGATGCTGCTGCTGATGGATGATGATGATGAAGCCTCGGGTACTCTGTAATCTGCATGACCATGATAGCAAAACTGTTAGGATCCCACATCGGTAAAAAATGGAATTGATTGATGCCTAAGACCATGGATACCATCCCCAATAAGTTAGTTTTTAGAGTGAATTCTACCCATGGACCTTAAAAATGATCCGTTTGAGCCTTCTCAATTTGAGTGGATGATATAAGTACATTAGCTGACCATTAGACAATTTTATTCCTGAAGAGACCAAGACTGTCAAAGCAGACAGGGGGGGGGGGGGGGGATAAAGAGAAATAAAAACTTACATCTGCTGCTCTTGAAGCAGATTGTGCAGACGGAGAAATTTCTGGAGAGAATTCGTCCATTGACACGCTCACCAAGTCTGTTGATTCCGGTACTTGCCCATATGGCGGTTGTGTATTGTTTCCCCCTTCAAATCCCAGACCTTTAACGTTTGTCCATTCCACTCCTAGAATACTCTCCTGCTGCAAGTTTAACAAGAACAATATGTTGGATCGGTACAAGGGGATTAATTACGGAGCCCTGTGTGCAGGCGTTGATGGCTCAGGAGTCAGGATATGTACCTCCATTCTCTGTTTTCTTTCGTGATTAACAAAAGCAAGAGTGGAGTCAAAGTCCTGCTGACAGAGAATGGAAAACTTACATTGCCTCTTCCCCAGAATGTTGAACGTTTTCCGTTGACTATCGTGGAGCCTGTAATTTTACTTGCAGATGTCTCAGTTGATGATGTATATCCAGCAGTAAGAGGAGTACCAGGGTTGAATGATGGCAGTATCTCTCTCCTTGGCTGATGACAATTTTTAATGGGGGAGACACTAGAAATTTCAATATCTCTAATTTGTTCTTCGTTTTGTTTCTTGTCTGAACTCTCAATAGAACAATGGATGTCTCTAGGAGACTCCACATCAGAATCTTCAATACCAAATCCCTAAGATAGTACATTCCCTGCTGAAAAAGCTTCCTGCAACAACGCAAATAATTGAATATAAGACAAGAAAGATACAAATACTATCTGAAAAGCGGGGGAAAAAATCAAGAGCATAAAGTATAAACTGCAGATGTATAAGGATGTGCTTTTCACCTGGTTTTCTGACCAGAATTTAGTCCGTAGCCTTTTTTGCTTTTAGAAGAAGATCATTCACTTAAATTTACTACAGTGGCACCTCTTCTGAGACAATAACTAATTACAGCCCAGAGGCTTATATGTATGTCGATCCATGGCTATTTTTATATCATCGCTGACAAAAGTTTCGGTTCTCCAGATTCAAGACCAAGAAACAAGCAAGGAGTTCGTGGAGCGTGTTGCTTTAGAGAATCTGATGGTTGATTACTATCTAGTCTACTTTGAGGTGAATACATTTAAAACTCTACTCAAAATAAAATCTGAAACCATGTAAATTAGAATAACTCACAGCTGAGCATTGTGATTCTGGAGATATTGATGATGGCCATGAGTTTCTGAGAGAGAACCCAAGTGATGATGGCGTTTCTGGTTAAGTTGGTGGTGTAGTTCTGCAACTTTCTGCTTCAACCTGGCCACATCAGCTTCGGCAAGAGCGATCTCCTCAAGCTCGACCCTTGTCTGCACATTCACCGTGGCGTAAGAATTATGTTATAACAAAAGATTTTGCCACAATAGAAAAACAATAGTTGGTTTTGTCCCATTAAATTGCATACTGACATTAGAATCCACACCATGCGAGCTAAGTTGTCCATAAGACATGTTTAATCCAACTTCCAGTGCAGATCGGAGATCTCTCTCAGCTTGCAATTGCTCTTGCAATCTGGCCACCTGATAGTTCCACGGGAAGCTTAATCAGTAAATGGAAGGTTCATTTCATTTCACAATTATCGTTGCCTTGTTGGACAGATATGGAATAAAAACATAATACAGAGAGATGACAAGGTATATACATCTTGTTCAAGTGCCAAACGACGTTCATGCAATGCTTGCTTCCTTCTCTCTAAGCTAGCTTGTAATATTGCATTTCCTCTTGCCTGTCACACGAATAAGGCTATTTCATCAATAATGACAACTTATTGAATAAGCAAACAATACTCCTAGTGCCAGAGGGAATACCTCCTTAGCGATTCTTTGCCGAAGCTCATTCTTCATGATCTCGAGCTTCTGTATGACAAGCCTACAAGCATTGGATGAACCATATGCTCAAACATAAGGCATGCTTGTACGAGAAAAAGTAGATTTAAAAGGTTTTGCTTAGTTCTAGAAGCACAGAAAACATATGCTAAAACTCAAATTTATTCTTCTTCGATTTTAAGGTGGTGCAGACCATTCTTTATCACATGCATTGGGTTTTTGACCTGTTCAACCAAAGGAATCCTAGATGGCCCATCAAGAGTGCAAAAGCTTTTGAGCTTTTGACTTGATTATCAGAAAAAGTTGAAAACAAATACTATCGACTATATCATTCTACTATGAAAATCTGGAATACTTTTAAGAATGACAAATATGCTTTGAAACATGTATTCCATGAACAGAATCAATATATCTGACTTAGAAGGAGAAATGTATATTCAGGACTGGATATCTTACTCGTCTTCTCCAGAAGAATCGAATGACCCATTTGCAGGTGCCTGTTTTCCCTGCACAACAGCCAATAAAGCAAGGATTCCAGAGATTACCAAGAATTCTTTTCTTGGTCAAAGTTTCCGTATCAGATACCAGCAAACTACAAGTATTTATAAAGTTTAATTGATATATATGACTGCCAAAACCAGCAGGCCTCCTTTGACGATGATGGCATCTAACTTTCTTCCATGGTTCAGCACAGAAGCAACATCACATCTTACCATAGCATATTGATTGAAAAAAAAGAGACTCGAGAGAGAGATCTCAGCATGAATTACAACAAAAGAGATGAGGGGAAAAAACTTTATTAAATGCATTAATGGGCCTAATTGTATATAGGATGTATGGCGAGATAAGATAACAAATAGAATAAACGACTTAAACCAACTTCCCACAATTCATGCACCATAAATCAGCCGCACCAGAACAATCACCTCATGCAGAGAATGGAAAACTTACATTGCCTCTTCCCCAGAATGTTGAACGTTTTCCGTTGACTATCGTGGAGCCTGTAATTTTACTTGCAGATGTCTCAGTTGATGATGTATATCCAGCAGTAAGAGGAGTACCAGGGTTGAATGATGGCAGTATCTCTCTCCTTGGCTGATGACAATTTTTAATGGGGGAGACACTAGAAATTTCAATATCTCTAATTTGTTCTTCGTTTTGTTTCTTGTCTGAACTCTCAATAGAACAATGGATGTCTCTAGGAGACTCCACATCAGAATCTTCAATACCAAATCCCTAAGATAGTACATTCAATGAAAGGACAGGTTAGGCAAAACTTTCTAGCAGATATATTTAAATAATAGATCTTTTGGCAACAGTTGAACTAGTGTTCAAAAACCAAGCAGCAACTACATGCGACAATTTATTTTTTAGACAGAAGAGCCTACAGAGACACAGATGCAAACATAACTAGATGGTAGACGGTACCTGATAGCTGAAGGAATCATAACCCTTAGGAAAGACGCATGACAAACAGGATCTCATATTTCCAGAATATGAAATGCAGGTGGATATAACCAAGACATCATATGCAGTAATAGCAGCAAGTAACTTCTACATTAATGAATGTAGGAATTGAGATGCATTTGAGTGTGATACCAAGAACAAACCTTGTAATCATAGAGATCACTTCCAGCATAATCATTGCTTGCATTCAATTTTCTGCTCAGCACAACCTCATTATCGTCGTCTGTTTCGCGCCCAACTCCATCACCTAGATTATGGAAGCCAGAATCTTTCACCTCTATGTCCTCTTCGTCACTTGAATTCTCAGGCCCGCTATTTCCAATGTGCGAGTCAGCAGAAATCGAGCATCTTTGAAGATGTTCATCCTGAGAAACCAATAGATGAGTGTACATGAATGTTGACAACAGTAAAACAAATTGTATGACCTAAGAGGCTAAGAGCAGCTTACATTAAATATGTTCTCATAATCCTCCAAAAGGGCCGTAACAATGGCTTGAGCATTATTAGCTGCATTAGCAGCAGCAAGTAGCTGGGCAGAATTATCTCCATTAATGTCAAAATCATCTTCTAGATCACATTCACCAGCCAGTAGAGGACGCAAAAGCAACGGAGCCATACAAGCAGCTACAGCAGATGAGGTCATCCGGTTCTCACAAGAATGAGATGCAATGGTATGCATCATCTTCAGAATTCTGCAGAATACAACTCCAAGATGAGAATAGAGCTGTCTGAAGTGACCTGAATAACAGAGTCTCAAGTGTCTTTACCAATGAGAACAACATACATTGTTTAATACCTAGCAGTTGATCAATGAAAAAAGTTTCCTTATGTTTGATGTTTAAAACACTACCAAACACATCCCATAGAATAAACATGGAAAAGTACCGTTGTAGAAGCCGCCGGTTCGGCTCTGGAAATGTTTCAACTATCGCAGAATGCAGTGAGTTAACCCGGGCTTCTTTATGATCAATTTCTACCAAAACATGTGAAGAATGAAGTCAGATTTACAGAAGAAGCATCAAATATTCAAATATGTATGTTTATGTGCACGGAAACACAAGCAAACATGCCAGTAAAAACATAGATGCCATATATGCACAAAAACTTACTATAAGCTTCTAGCAAAGCAGTGCAGCATGATGCTGGAACTGGAGAAGAAGGCAACTCCCTCAGGACATGCTGCAGATTAAATAGCATGGCCTGAGCGCTTTAACTAAATCGTCATCTGAACATTATAGTTGACACAGATGGTAGTAGAATACCTTGACACAATCTCCAACAACATGTGGATCCTCGTCAGGACTGAACTCTGTCTTGCCTAGATAGCAATATTTTGAGGAGAAAGGGAAAACATAAGAAACGAGCCATAGCCTCGGCAGTACTTAATTTTACCTTTACTTAAAGTTTTACACAAAAAGAGAAAGCTAATAGGTAAGAGACAGCTACCTTGTTCGTATTCTTGAACTCTTTGTTCTACCTCCTCAACATCTGCAGACTGTCTTAAGATTCCTTCAACTTTGATTCCTGTGCACATGCAAACGTACAAGCAAAAAATAAAGAAATAAACATTTAGTAATCTCCTTTTGCAAAATAAAAAGAAAACCATACCCTTGATCATATGATAGAACACAAGACGAGTCAAACAGAAATATCACAGAAGGGAATAACACAAGTCAGCTTTCTACAGGAGAATACAAAAAAACAGGTAAAAGTGATCCAGGGATTGGGCACAGTTTTAGATTAAGAAACTGAGACTCACCATATTGCTCAAGAAACTGAAGAGCTTTCTCAAGAAATGATGGGCTTCCGTCAATATCTTCCAGAGCAAGCAATATTGGCCTTCCAACAACCAAAGATTTAACTGGACGCTTATCTCGCCCTGCACACCAGGATATGATTTGATGTCATATGAAATATGAAAGGCACGACTTAGTGAAATTGTCAAAATAAGAACACAACTGAGATGAATGAGAACAAACATTGATTGAAAGACCCTTCAATTGAATTGTTTGTTTCAGTCCGAAATATTCCATTGTGACCCATAACCAGAGCTGCATTAGGAGCTTGTGCAAGGGTTTGCTCAAGGGCAGTTTTCCACTCGTACAAGTCCTCCAATGTCTCAGCCTACATGATTTAAATACCCAGGATTTTGTACAGGCTAACAAGAAGCATAGCGGCAACACAGACGAATCATGAAAGAAGGAGACAAACAAGATTGAAAAGAAGTATTTAGAGTTTCCCCTGCACCTTGAGGGTGAAGGCTCGCCCATCACGACCATCTGGGAATAAAACAGTCAGCAACTTCTTGTCCTCTCTCACCACGACGCTACAGATTAGGATGTCAGTTGTAAACTAGAAGATTGGAGATAGTCTTTTAAACAGAAATCGTTAACAGTATGTACCTCCCTGAACTGTTCAAATCAATGCCTCCAAGAGTCAAATTTACTTCACCACCCTTTGGCGGTAGCGCACTCTGCAAAATAATCGAAGCAATAAGTAAGAGGTAAGAAAACACCAAGAAGGAAGTGATGCAGTGGATATCAAGACTCTCGGTAAGCTCCTAGGTTGGAAGTTTTAGAATGATTGTTGATGCAACTGAAGGAAACAAAACAAATGTCCTCATATAGAAAATTTGGATCTATATAATAATTATATAGGAAGGTAAAATAATTGAGATTTCGAACATAAAAATAGAAACTATAGGCCACCCAGGTTTGTTAGATGACAGAAGGAAGGGAAAG